TGCCTTGCTATATAGCCAAAGATGAACTTCAGTTTCTCATTCTCCTGTCTCTGTCTGTCTAGTGCTAGTATTATAGGTGGGCACTACCACATCTGACTTGGGTATTTTTCTTTTTCTTTCTTTCTTTTTTTGGGGGTGGGTGGGCAGGGTATCATGTAATCCATGAAAGAATTAAATTCACTGTATAGTAGAAAATGACCTTGAACTGAGGATCCACATGCCTCCATTTCCTGGGAGCTGGGATTCCAGGCATGCACCACCATAACAAGTTTATGTGGTACTGAATACTGAACTTAAGGCTTTGTGTGTGTTGAACAAGTACTCTACCAACTGAGCTACAGTCCACCATCTCTTAAAACTTTGTGTTTTGATGAAAGCCAAAGCACGATGTTAATTATGTTGGCTGATATTGGCAAGCCAAGCTAGAGAAGGCAGCCATGGATGGGTTGTGAGACTGAACACCACTTTGCCTATGGTTTCTAAGGCACACAGAGTGATTCCAAAGTGCCAATAATAAGTTTGTTGAAGACTCAAAATGACAGTTATTTCATTTCGATTTGCTAGATTACTGTGTAAATTGCTTGCTCTGAAAGATCCAGGTCTTGGCAGTTAGAAAGTGAACAGTTTAAAACATGCCATTCACTTTTCAACCTACTCACCTTCATCAAATCATGTATATCCTAACCTTGATTACTTCACAGTAAAGAGTTTTGAAAACACACCCTTTCAGCAGACTTTCTGGATTGCTTTTTTAATATCATGAATATCTCATTGTAAATAATAATTTTAAGAAGGACACTCCCCCATCCTGGATGGTTTTCCGTTTCTCAGCTTTTCTGTATTAGACAGTGGGATAACTTTAACATCTTTCATATGATGTACTGCAAAATTGACTTTGCTCACAGGCCATGCACCAATAATGATGTATTCAAACTTCATTTTCAGTGTTGAAGACTGTGTTGTATATTTCACTTAAGCAAGGTGCCTATGAGCATATATTTTTGGTTACCTTGGGATATGATATGATTTAAGACAGTGGATCACAGATATGTAGTAATTAGTGATAGTTGCATTGCTTTTCTGGAAGATTGCTAGCATCATGGCTCCAAGTCAACTTGGGGACATGCTTTGAAAGCCCGTTTGTTGCTCTTGATGGACTTTATGATGGCTAGGTTGACAAATAATCCATGCCAAATCCCTGTGACTGCAGCACCATTTTTCATAGGTGCCTGCTCTGTAGCCAATTTGTCAAGATGTAGTCTGCTCCAAGTTACATTATTAAGTGATTTAACTCCAGCAGTGTTATATGACTCTGTAATATGCACGAGAGAACCCAGGCCCTCTGGGTAGCCTGACTTTATATGGAGAGGTTTGCAAGCAAGATAAGAGCATACCTAGCTATTCCTCAGCCCAGGAGTGGAAGGTAGCCTGACTATTCTTCCATATCTCTGCCACACAGTAACCAAGCCTCAATTCCCTGCCCAGAGACAGGGTGACTTCTGTTACATAGTATAAGTTACTTATGTCCTGCTCCCCTACCTTTATCAGGTCACATTAACAAGGCCACTTCCCCAAAAATGTATTAAATAAAAGTGCATCTCTGATCTCTTTCCTCAAGAGAGTCTGAAACTTTACTTCAGCCACCCCAACCCCGGGCTACACCACCATGTTGTTAGTGTCAATAACCGTTTGCCTGAGAGACATGACTCAATACCCCTTTCCTATCTCCCCTTCTCTCGTCTCATAAAGCCGGATAACAGACATTGATGGGGAAAAGTGGTCCTCAATACATGGATTCCAAACCCACAATGTAAAGCAAAAAAGTATCATTCAAGTATCTCTGGAAGAAAAAAGGAAGAGAGAACACATCAAACCAATAAAAGAGATGTCATGTTTTATAACAGAAAAAATGACATGATTTTCTCAAATGAAAAATAAAAAGATCCAGAGGTTTTTCCTCTTTTAAAATTTGACTTAAATCTATACAAGTAATATAAAAATATTTATTTTGAAGTCTTCTAACCCATGGTAGAGTGCATTCCTAGCATGCAGGAAGCTCTGGATTCTCTCCCTAGTACCTCATACACCAGGTGTGGTGGCTCATTCCTGTAAACCTGGGATGTGAGAGATGGAGGCTGGAACATCAGCAGTTCAAGGACATCCTTGTCCACATCTCATGTCTTGTGTTCAGGATCAGTGGGGTGTGACTACATGAGACACTGTCTCAAAGATAAAAATAAAAATATAAATAAAAATTTAAAATATGATACTTTTACTTTGTGAGAAATGCTAAATGTATGTACAAGTTAACCCAGTAGGATATCGAGAGCTTATATTTAATGATGAATTTGTGTTATTGACTCTCAGCTAATTTTATTCCATCTTGCTTCACCTGTACATTTACTCACTGCTCATCCCACTCTCATTTTGAAGAAAATTCCAAATGGCTTCTTATGTAAAACTCCCTTTACAAACAGAAGTTTTTTTTTTCAAAAACTTGACAAAAAGATACATAGCTAAAGTATTAAGTAATAGTACCTATGATGTCCACCTAACATACAAAAATGGCATGAGGATAAATGTTAACCTGTGACATAAAGGTAAACATTGAAAAAACTACAAATTAGATATAAATGGAGAGCAAAATATTGTAAATGCTTGGTAAATACAGATTGTCTTGGTATTACAATGGTTTATCTTTAGATTTTTTTGACTTCACCATGGTACCAAAGTGCCATCTATTCAGTGGAAGCTGTCCTTAGGGTTTGAATTTAGATTTCTTCCTGGGACAGTGTCATGCAGTCCTCCCTCATGATGCCGGACAACACAGTTCCCACTTAGACCACATAATCCTGGGGCAACTGTTGACTCTGGTAGGCTGCTAAACTGAGGTATGTACTAAATAAATTTCTTTTTTATAGTTTAGTGTATTTTAATAGCAAATTACAGGAGAAGTACTGAAGACAGACAACATTGAAAATGTACTTGCATGTAAGACAACACAGGAAAATATAGTGAATTGATAGAATCCAGTGTAGTATGGTAAAAAATGCTACAAACACCATTCAGTTGTGGTCATTAAGAAGTTTATTTATGTTTTTTTGTTGTTTTTTTTTTGAGATAGGGTTCCTCTGTGGCTTTGGAGGCTGTCCTGGAACTAGCTCTTGTAGACCAGGCTGGTCTCGAACTCACAGAGATCTGCCTGCCTCTGCCTCACAAGTACTGGGATTAAAGGCGTGCGCCACCACCGCCCGGAGAAGTTTATTTATGTTTATAAAAGTCCAAGTGCTGGCATTGTCCAGAAAAAAATTTGACATGTTTATTTGCAATTGCAGTAAGGTTGAACTGTTGAAACCTATCTACTGCAACATTTTGACTTACATTAACACTTTATATTCTGAAATGTTGTATTAAACATTCACAGAAAAGTGAAAATGGAAAACCTGTAAGGCAATGGTTTCAACCTGTGAATCATGATTCATAGGGGTCACCTAAGACCATCAGAAAACACAGATATTTACATTATGATTCCTTGCAGTAGCAAAATTACAGTTATTAAGTAGCAATGACAATAATTTTATGGTTGGGGGTCAGCACAACATGAGGAACTGTGTTAAAGGGTCACAGCATTAGGAAGGTTGAGAACCACTACTGTAAGGCATTTGTTGGTACATGCTTTAATCTAAGCGCTTGAGAGCCAGAGACAAGTGGATCTCTTTGAGTTTGAGAGCAGCCTGGTCTGCATAGCAAGTTCCAGGACAACCAGAGTTACATAGTGAGACTCTGTCTCCAAAAACAGAACAGACAAACCAAACAAACAAACAAAAAGAAACAAAATAGGAAAACTGCCAATACCTGTTTTCTGTCCCATTGTTTTCTGATAGCAATCATATACTTATGTACCTTTTCTCCCCATGTGAGGAGATACCTAACATTCAGAATTACTGAGAACAGAAGGAAGGGGAGAGTTTTTTTTTTTTTTTTTGAAAATGAATTGTTTCCCCTCACAGTGGACTCTTAAGCCTGTTTCTCTGTGTAAGCAGTCCACTTGCTGGATATCATTGAGTATTATCGTTAGCGGTTTGCCATGGACAGCAAACAAATTGGTATCTTCAAACAGACCCAGCCAATGGGCCTCACTTGCTTCCTACAAAGCACCTATAGTGGCATGCTGGAAGTGCAGATCTGTTTTGAAATCCTGGGCAATTTCTGGAACCAGGCACCAGATGCTGGAAGGAGAGTTTGCTGATCAGAAGTTTAGCCACTTGTTTCCTGAATGCTGCTTTACCACCTGAAAATTCTCAGAGAGTCAGCTTTGCATAGCCAAGGTATAAGCGCCTTTTTACTCTCTTCACCCCCTTCTCTCTTTAAGCTGGAGAGAGAGGCAGCATTTGTATCAAAGACAGATGGTTGTGAACACAAGTCTTAAGTACATTTTCTACTTGTATTAACTCTTTCAGTACGTAACCCGGCATATGGAGGAACATCTGTATTCATCTTGTAAATAGATGAGCATGCTTCCTGAAAACATTCAACCTAGAGTCACTGTATAATTCAGAAATTCCATTCCTGGATAGTTATATATCCAAGTGGGCTAAAACCAAATCCACCCCTAAATCTGTTCATAAATGCTCACAGAAGCATTTGTGACAATAGCCAAATAACGGAAACAATGTGAATGACTGTCACGTGAGGAATGGATTAACAAATATGGTCTATCTGAGCAACAGGATAACATTTGGCCATAAAGGGGACCAACACTGATTCCATATGTATACTGACCTGCTTAGTAACCATTTTCATATTTGATTTTTACAGGTTTGGATTGAGATAATATCAGTTTGTCCTTTAGTCTCTTCTTTTTGAATCAAAAACGTTTTATTTATTTCCTTTCACATCACATTACATTCTGTTTGGATACATCATTACATACACTTTGTTACTTTTGAAACAGTTTATGGTTATACAGTACTACACAATAAAACAATATTGATATCATAGGTGGTACAGAGAATCTGGCACCTCCTGATGAACTGGCAACAGAGAGCTTATAGACTGGTTGCAACTACAAGGAGTGGATGCAAACACAATAGGAAAGGTAAATTTTGAAATCAAAGTATTCCTATGGTATTGTTGAAAAGCTGCTTATCTCATACACTGAATCACTGTTTTAGATTGTTGAAGAGGATTATACACTTTCTGATATTCTCGATGATATTACTAAGGAAGACCTAAGATGCCTCAGACTACGGTAAAAGCTTCCAAATGGTTTGAATAATACAAGGTCTTAGTGAACATTTTAAAATGAAATAGATTAACAAAATGTTGGTAGCTTCCTCCAATCATAATGAAATTAGCTTTCCACTCTTGTTTAAATGCCCATACCTCTACACAGTCCCACCAACACTCCTCTGGCACCAGGTCCAGACAAAGACACCCACTTAATAAGTTAGAAATTATATTTGAAAGAGTGGCTGGCAAATGTAATCCTGTAGATCAAATGCTTGTTTCTCCTACTTGTGAGGTGGCTGTTTTCAAATTTGCTTTTCTTATGGAAACTCCTGTTTTGCAGCAGTGGTGTCCTCTGTAGACTCTGGCATGCAGTCTCCCAGCACAGAAGACAAACGCAGGAGTCCTCACACTGAGCCAAGCTGGAGAGAATACGCAAATACCCTACCTGCTTATTGCCAAAGCTTCTGTTCATGTACACACAAATCCTGCATTTACACAGGATCCCTGTTCACTAATTCAAGCATGCATAATTTAGGTCATCCTTGTGTATAAACAGGATTGTATGTAACATCAACCATGATCTAGTGTACTAAATTCTTAGGATTGTATTTCATTTAAAAAGTCAACATTCCTTATAGCAACTGCTGGAAAGATAAAAGCATAATACTTAAATGTAAAAAAGTGTGCCTTGCAATGGGAATACAAGTTCACGTTTGTTAAATGTCTAAATGGAGAAAATTAAATTATTTTACCTTTGAAGTAGCTTTATTTTAAAATGCCTGATTTTATAGCCTTTGATCACAGGGACATGATGACCAGTGCCAACGGATGTCAGCCTCCACAATGCAGGGTAGCAGCTGCTACTCCTCTTCCCATGCATTGCATCAATCCCAGCAGGCCTCCTGGAGGACATACAGCTATCCATGGCCACACAACAAAAAGTGGCAGAGTTATTCCTTTTAGTAACTGTTGTAGGAGATGAGGGAAAGTTATAAACGCTACATTACCCATTTCAAATCCTATACAAATCCAATACACTCTTATTCACATGGATACACTGCATACAACAACATGCAACTCACTCTTCCTTAATTTACATGTTTTCAAGACTTTTTGTTTGGGTATTTCCTGTCCTTAAAGTTGAATGGATGATGAACGCCTAACATCCATCCATTTCACAGTTTCCCATTAACTGACTGACTTAAACTTGATCCACTGGTTGGCACCATGCACTTTAAAGGGAGGATTGCTGCTGTAGATGTGATAGCCTAGTTCCTCCAAGGGTGGCTCTGGATCAGCTGTAGCAAACTGGGCAGCATCCTCATTAACACTTGCCAGATTGCTGTTCACCATTCCATCCTTGAGAAGCATAATAGGGTCTCTCTTACTTCTTAGTTCCTGGATTTCTTCTCAAGTACGGTAACTGACTCCAGGTTGCTCATACTATGTCCATGGTAACAGTAAGTCTGTAGCTCCATCGGGATGGGCCCCTTACCAGACCTACAATAGGTAACTGCAGACTTTGTTGCCTCTCAGACACACAAGATATCCATTCCATCTACCTTCAGTCCAGGAATAAAATCTCCTCTTTTGTAATAATACATACTGGCCGCTGCTCTCTCGACAGATGTCCTCATGCCATAGTGGTTATTTTCACAGATGAAAATACAAGGTAATTTCCACAATGCTGCCATAATGAAAGCTTCAAATATTTGACCCTGATTAGCAGCGCCATCACCATATAATGTCAAACAGACCTCATCTTTTCCATTGTACTTGCAGGCCAGAGCAATCCCTGCTCCTAGGGGCATCCGAGCTCCAACGATGCCATTGGCTCCATAGAAGATCTTGGCGTACATGTGTATCAATCCACCTTTCCCTTTAGCACAATCTCCTCTTCGTCCTGTTAGCTCTGCAAGGATTTTGAAACCATTCTGATCAAGGTAACCCAATCACAAAAAGACAAACATATGTACTCACTCATATGTGGATTTTAGACATAGAGTAAAGGATTACCAGCCTACAATCCACACTGCCAGAGAAGCTAGTGAACAAGGAAGACCCTAAGGGAGACATACATGGTCCCCTGCAGAAGGGGAAAGAGACAAGATCTCCTGAGCAAATTGGGAGCAAGGGAAGTGGGGGAAGGGAGCTAGGAGAATGAGAAGGGGAGAAGAGGAGGGATGCAGAGGACATGAGGGAGCAGAAAGGTTGAGTCAGGGGAAGAATAGAAGAAAACAAGAAAGGAGATACCATAATAATTGGAGACCTTTTAGGTTTAAAGACAAATCAGGCACTAGGGAAATGTCTGGAGATCTACAAGGATGACATCAACTAATAATCTAAGTCACAGAGGAGAGTCTACCTTAAATGTCCTCCCCTGATAATGAGATTGATGACTGTCTTATATGCCATCCTAGAACCTTCATCCAGCAGCTGATGGAAGTAGAAGCAGACACCTACAGCTAAACACTGAACTGAACTGGAATCCAATTGCAGAGAAGGAGGAGTGATGAACAAAGGGGTCCAGACCAGGCTGGTGAAACCCACAGAAACAGCTACCTGAACATCAGGGAGCTCTTGGTCCCCAGACTGATAGCTGGGAAACCAGCATGGGACTGATCTAGACCCCAGGAACGTGGGTTTCAGTGAGGAGACCTCGGAAATCTATGTAATAGTTCAGTACTTATCCCTAGCATAGGTGTGGACTTTGGGAACCCAATCCACATACAGGGATACTCCCTGAGCCAAGACACACGGGGGTGGGCCTAGGCCCTATCCCAAAGCATATGATAGACTCTCATGACCCCCTATGGAAGGCCTCACCCTCCCTGTGGTGCAGAAAGGATATGTGATAGGTAGGGTATTAGTTGGGGGAGGAGTAGTAGGGGAGAAGGGGAGGGAGTGGGAACTGGGATTGACTCGTAAAACAATCTTGTTTCTAAGCCAAATAAAAAATAAATAAAAAATAGAATTGCTCAGACAGGTAGTCCCCCAGTGAAGGTGAAGCCATGTGCTTGATAGGCTGTGATGAGATGGTTTTTGGGGTTTATGCCAGCCTCCAGGCCCATGCAGCAGGCTTCCTGACCATCACACAAGTGACAGAAACCACGAGTGATTTTCTGTTTATTCAACTGATCTGCCTATAGCTCCATTTGCCTCACAGTCTGCATTATCCTGTAGTACTTGAGCCCATTCTTTCTGGTGAGCACTGTGGTGACTGCAGGACCCTCTTCTAGCCGATGAAGGTCACATTTCTTAATCTCCAGTGTAGCATCATTTGCAAAATTACAGGAAGCTATTAACACTCTGCTTGCTGGCTTCTGCTCAGCACCTGGCAACATGCAGGATACAGTGGCCAGCATCTTTCTCATGGAGAGCAGCAGACCCACGTGGTGGCTGCGGCACCAGGGCACTCAAAGGGCACCCTTTAGTCTCTTTTAGACAATAGGTTTTTTCCTTCCGGTCGCTCTTTAAAATCTCCCTGCAATGGAGTTTTCTAAGAAATTAAGTCTTTGTCTTGTAAAATTGCTTGCCATCTTGATTAGCATTCATGTCGTATGATATTTGCACAATAATTGCATTTACCTGAAAATATCTCATATTATTTTGCCCTCTCTAATGCATGTACATCAACATAGAGAATGGGAAAGACTTAACCAGATTCAAGGCTGCCCCCCAAGATTCTTTCCTGGCTGCTACTGTTAGTTAGGACAGTGGCATTTCATACACAATTGTTTCTCTTGGGGTGTCAACAGCTACTGATGGTTATGTCACAGATGCATTCATTGGCTTTTGGATGAAAATTGACATTTGTCATGGTTAGCCTTAAAGATGGCTCCCAGAATTCTTTGATTCCTCGTATTCATTAGCTCATGTAATGTCCTATTACCTTTCATCAGCTGTGGATGACCAATAGATCTTGGAGGAGCTGGACATTGTGGTGCACACCTTTAATCCCAACACTCAAGAGACAAAGGCAGATGAATTTCTGAGTTTGAGGCTAGCTTGTTCTATAATGAGTTCCAGGACAGCCAGGGCTACACAGAGAAACCCTGTCTCAAAAACCAAAACCAAACAAAACAAATGAAAGATTATGAAAGAACTATATCACGTGTGAGGTCCGGTCTTAAAAGACAGTGTGGCCACTTCCTTCTGCTCTCACCTCTCTGGGTCTAGCCAGCATTCATATCATGAGGTGTATGTCATGTTTTCATATGGCTTCAACTTCAGCTACTAGTATCCAATGTGTTTCTAGAAAGATCTTGAGACCAATCTCTGCTAAATTCCTCACTCACACAAACTGTGTCATTGTGCCTTTGTATGCTCTGGGCTGGTTTACTTCCTACTGAAGGTACTAATTCAGTATTATTCTAATGTGTGCCTTTGAAACATCCATTTTCTGGGATATATTTATAAAGACAAAATTTTCATTCCCAAACTGGCCTCAAACTCATTATGTAGCAGAGGATGACTTTGAACTTTTGATCCTAAGGCCTCCTCCTTTCCCACATATTGAGATTATATGGCTGCACCTCCAAGATGGTTTAGTAATAGTACTGAGCCAAAGTCAAAGCTTTGTGCATGCTGAACAAGTGCTCTATCAACTAAGCCATGTCCCCAATCCCAGAAAATGTGTGATTATAATATAATATACATGTATATTATCATCTACATACTACACATATAATGTATAGCATAGAATCACTTCAAAATAGTCCTTATTTTATGTAGATTTGTGTACTTGTATTTATATGTGTGTATAAGTACATGAGTATACACATATGGATAAAGATTAAGTCTAAAGAATTTAATGTTTTTTCTTAAATTTTATGGCCTGTCCTGAACAATGAATATTTCTGGTTGTAGAGTATATCACTGAGCTTAATAAGCCGACTTTGTCAGAAATTTGATGTGTTTTCAGTTTTACTGTTACCATTCAATTGATTAGAAATATATTTAGCATAATTTTAATGTCTGAAAGTTACAAATCACTCATTTAAAGGAAACTGTTAGAAACCTCTAAATCCAAATGATAGGCTGTAGGTTAGGCTGACTAGCCATCCTCTTGCCTCATCCTCTGAAATGCTGAGATTACAAGCACAACTCACTATGCCCAGAGATTTATGGGCTTTACATTTTTGTGTTATGTTTATTTAGTGTGTGTGTGTGTGTGTGTGTGTGTGTGTGTGTGTGTGTGTTCACACGCGTGTGTACATTCAATGCCACTGAACCTGTTTGGAAGTCAGAGGACAACTTGCAGGAGTCAGTTCTCTCCTTTTACCATGTAGGTACCTGGATCTAATTCAGATCCTCGGGCTTGGAGGCACATGCCTTTACCCACTGAGCCACCTCACTGGCCCATTTTTAAGCCTGAAACACTTCTCTAAATTGCATTCTAAAAGTAAAATACTTTCCTGCTACCACCAGTAATATCTTTGTGGCCATTTGACGTTACTCCCCACCAGGACTCTGTGTTCTCTGTCCGTTCAACAAGTATTCCTCAGACACTTGTAAGGTGTTAACTGTACACCATGTACCATTTATAAAACAAAATGACAAAACTCTACTTTCTTTGTCTGGTCTAATAAGACTTCATAGTCCTTTGAACATTTTTAAATATCTACTTGTCAGGACACTCTAGGACTCCATTTTCGCCCTTAGGCAGGCAGGCATTTATTTTTGTCCACTCACTGCCACCAGCCTTGCAGTCTATTCTGAACCTTCTCTCCTTGCCCCTCCCCATCTCCATGTCTTTTATA